CAGGGAAGACTTCCAGAGGTGGTGACCTTAGAGCTGACACCTGAGGAAGGAAAGGGGGCCAGGAAGGCTGCCATCTTGGAGAAAAGAGTTCAGGTTTAAAGTCCCCATAAAATAAATAAGCTTTGTGTGTTTGAGGAACATATGGAGGGCCCAAGCGCCTGGAACAAACAGAAGCAGGTAAAAGGATGATAGAAGTTGATGTCAGAAAGATAGAAGTCATTTAATTTTTACAAAGTCCTGTAGGCAACGTGAGGAATTAGAGTTTTATCCCAATTCAAGTGGGAAGTGACAGCACAGTTTCAGGGAGGGATGGACTATGATACTATGAAAGATCTCTAAGAGGATAATATATTACCGGGAGCAAGAGTGGAAGTAAGGGGCCTGCTGGGAGACTCTTCCAACAGCTCCAGACAAGAGATTGGAGTTTCAGCATTGGGGAGTATGGGAAATCATCAGATTCAGGACGTATGTTGGAGGCTGTTCTAAGCTGATTTGTGGATGGTTGGAAATGGGTTTGAGAGAAAAAGAGGAGTCAGGAGGTCTGTAATTTTTTTGTCCTAAGAATAGGTAGATTATCCCAGATGATTTGAGGTATGATAAATTTGAGGGACATATTAAGATAACATTTTTTGTATAGAATATTCTCAGTATACATTTTTAAAAAAGAATCAAGGATGATTGAGGGTGTAGGCTGTTTGATTCGTGGACACTCAATATTTCACTGAGACAGAAAAAATGATATTACCTAATGTGAAACATGACTACTATGTTAAACAATACATAAATAAATAAACAAATATCTCCAGAGTCACAATTAATGGTAAAGTCCATACCACTGTACTATTCAAGAGGCAACTTATTCAGAAAAGAAAGCAACTTATTCAGAAAACAACATGGTTGTGAGATTTCTTCCTGCGGATTTCTTCTTGGGATCATTTGGTTAGGCTTCAGAAAAGAAAAAAAGAAAAAGAAAGCAATAATTAAAAGAATGTCAAATGAATTAGTTTACCACACCTTTTCCCATCTGATAAGTAAGAAGTCACATCTTGTCAACTCTGCATTGTTCACGTGAATGGAATGCTTTATAAGGAGACCAACCCTTCTCCATGCCCTTGCCTCTTTCCGTTCCACATTAATGTGAAATATATAAAAAGTAAATTTGAAATTATGCTAAAAATAGGAATAAAATGCTGGGTTCCGTCTTAGCTATTACCGTGAATAGTCTCAGCTTAAGATATATTGACTGTTACACACGAGAGATACATTTCTATTTAGATTCACAAGAAATGTCTTATCTTAGCTATAGTCATAGGTAAGTTTACACTGTAAATTATAGAATTACCAATGTATTGAAATCAATGCATGAAAAGAAAAAATTAATCTAAGTAATAGCACTTAGATGAGAATCATTTATTTCAATATAAGAAATCAGAAGTATTTCTGAAACAGTGGTTTTGTCATGTCTTATAAAGTTCCTCACCTTTTGAAGAATAAAATGGAGGGAACATTCAATATTGCTGAGGAATAAACCCCAGGCCTCCTTAGATCTCCTAATTTAGGGATATGATTTCTATAGGAAAATGTAGAAAATAGAATAGCCAAAAATATTAATTAGTCTTTTTTTTATTATTTATTAAATTCTTTATTCTTTATTTCTTATTGAGGATAAACATACACAGGAGGATGGAGAGAGAACCATAAGGGAGATGCTTAAGCTGCCATTAGGCTTACTTGCTAGTTAAGTGACTCTTTCTCAGTGGAGTATCAGAGTAATCAGATTTGTGGGATAAGACAGTCAATCACAAGTTGCTTCATGCCCATGACCATCAGAGATTTCTTGAGAATTAAACCCTTGAATCTTAGATTTGTTAGTGCCGAGGGTGTGCTGTATAGCATTTTATGCTTGGTTCTGTTTGATTCTCTGGGGAGCACTTTATGGCAGATGTTACCTAAGGACACTTGTAGTCACCACCTAGGAACCACTCTGGGCCAGAATCAGATTAAAACAATAAAAGAAGACTATGATAGTAGCTGCTTATAAGCAGTGGACCTATCCAATAGCGACTTGGGTAATTTCTTGGTTTGTTGCTCACAACTTCTACAGGTATTGCTTGGGAAATATTAAGTGCTAAAAGGCTGAATAACATAAAACTGAAAGGCTCTAAGTAAACATGGTGCTTACAAATAAAACATCTTAGGTAACTCTGGAAACATTCCAGCTACTTTTAGCTGTTAATTCGACTTCTTAGACTGTACCCGGAATATTATAGTGGATAAGAATTGTGATGGTGATCATCCAATCACAAAAACTGCAGAAACTTAAGCCAAATACTGCAATACATTAATGATAGGGCCCCAAGTAGCATTATTGTGTGAAGGAAGTCTTTGTAGGGAGATTGACATAGGTTTCTTAATGTAGCTATCACTTATTGAGTACTTACCAATGTTCATAAAACTGCTAAATACTTTCTGTGGGTAATCTCATTGAATCTTTAGAGTAACCCTAAACTATGAAGTAGTTACTATTATTGATTTAAAAAGGAGACAGACTGGGGCGCCGGGGTGGCTCAGTCGGTTAAGCGTCTGACTTCAGCTCAGGTCACGATCTCGCGATCCGTGAGTTCGAGCCCCGCGTCGGGCTCTGGGCTGGTGGCTCAGAGCCTGGATCCTGCTTCCGATTCTTTGTCTCTCTCTCACTCTACCCCTCCCCCGTTCATGCTCTGTCTCTCTCTGTCTCAAAAATAAATAAACGTTAAAAAAAAATTAAAAAAAAAAAAGGAGACAGATTTAGAGTTCAAGTACATTACCCCAAACCACATAATTGACAATTGCACCAGGATACGAACCCAGTTTTGTCTGATGCCAAGGTTTATGCTCTTAATATGAAGTATCAATCTATTTATTAACAGAACTAGCCATATTCCATTCATTATAATAAATTGAGTCAATGTGATATACATATTTAAGACAAAGTAGATCAGTGTCTTGTATACCAAAGATCTTTTCCAAATAAGCAGTTGATTCGATTTTATATAATGGCCCCTCTTAGAATCTCTTTTCTCAAAGGCTCTACTCTTGTTATGGAGGCTTTCAGCAAAATCCACTTGGGCTTCCAAACACATTGCTCAGTATTCTGGTATGTTTGGCTGTTCCCATGGAGATATTTGGATGCTCATTTTAGTCTTGCTTTTAGCAGCAGAGGACCCTATAGAACTTTGGACAGCTTTGTGATGTTAGTGAGTGACTGCAGGTGTCTAAGATAAGATAATGGAACCAGTTTCATCATATCTCTCATTGGATCAACATATAAATGATCAAAAGTTAAATCCACATTTGAGAAATAGAAATTGGTATTGAAATCTTATCTATGTAAGTTGAAATAATGTGGCCAAATCAATGTCTAAGATAGGATTTATTTGTGATATTGAAAGGTTTAACAAAGAAATGGAGTTGGAGGAGTAAAAAGAGGAATCTTCACTTTATAGGATGTATGGCACCTAAAATTATTCTGCAAGAAATTGGATGAAAGAGATTCGACATTTTGAGTTTCTATGAGGAACTCCCTATCAACAACAAACCATGTAAAATACAGTCAAATTGGTGTTAAAATATTATACTGTTCTCTCTCGCAACCATTTCTAACAAATTCAAATGTATTTATATATGGAATTCTAACACTTTTCATTTAAAAGTAATGGTGTGAAAAATTTGAGGATCACTTGCATGGGAAAGTTGTAAAGGGAATTAAGATAATAGGTATGAAATTAATTGAGCTTCACTAAAGAAAAATCTTAAAAAATTGAAAGTAGATCACATCCAATTATTAAAAATATTTTGTTTCTTTATTTTATAACATTTAGAATATAAAATTTTCCATCTCTATCCATGGTACGTTTATTTTCAGCATCATTTAGTACTTGATTTCAGAACGACGAAAGAATCGGACGTTTCTGCGTTTATTATAATGAATTGGGAGTCTGTATTTATTCTCGTTGTGTTACAGGAGAGAACATGATCCTAGTGTGTTGAGGTGATGTGACTTTTCTATCCCCTCCCACCTTGTCTCTACTGAAGCCAACCAGCAATTATACTCTAGGGAATAATGATTCTCCTTCAAACTTGGACCGTGTCTGTGGTGAGCTTCCAAATACAACAAAAACAAAACACAAACAAAACTCGAAGCAAAAATCTCTACCTGAAACAAAACAAAACACAAACCAAAACCTAGAGAATTGTGTCAGAAGCAAGGCACATCGTTATTATCTCGTTAACTAATAACACATTTTGTCAAAATTCAGTGTCATTTTGGGTCCCGCTAGGTGGGAAAAACAGAGATTATTTCCACTTAGTGTAGATACACAGATACTCAAAAATCTGATTCCGGGGGGGGCCCCCCCCCGGCGCCCCACCACCCCACCCTGTGGTCTCTCTGAGTAAGTAGAAAAAAAAAAATCACAGTTTTCCTGACCAACTGCTAGAAGGTTCTGCCCTTGTTAGGCTATGTTGCCTCCATGACAATGAAACGTCCCTTGGTGGTCATCGCTTTAGAAATCAAGCATCACGAAGCTGAGGTAAAGGGAGGCTCTGCTTTGGAATTGCACTCCGGCTAAAAGTAGGTATCTGGTATTTACTTTTAGCAATCAGTAACTTCACGAATACACATTCCCAGAATATTTAGCTATCCCTATTCTGACCCTTATTAATTATTATTATTTTTCTTAAAAACTTTCCATGTGAGTCTATAAGAAAATTCTCTATAACTACATTGTGTTGAAAACTTGGCCCAGCTAAGTGCATTGTTATGTGGTGTGAGAAGGAATAATCTGCTTGGCTACAAAATTCCTTCCTGTATGATACATGCATTGCTTCATAGTGTGAAAGACGTTTTTCAGGTTGGCAAACGGAAAAAAAAAAAAAAAACTGTCTTGTAAAATATTTGTCTACTTTATTTATTTTTTTTAATTTTTATTTTTTTTAACATTTATTCATTTTTGAGACAGAGAGAGACAGAGCATGAACGGGGGAAGGTCAGAGAGAGGGAGACACAAAATCTGAAACAGGCTTCAGGCTCTGAGCTGTCAGCCCAGAGCCCGACGTGGGACTCGAACCCATGGACCGCGAGATCATGACCTGAGCCGAAGTCGGACGCCCAACCGACTGAGTCACCCAGGCACCCCAATATTTGTCTACTTTAAGAGTCGTAGTTTTTCCCTGGCATCTATATCTAATTGAATGAGATCCACTAACTGCAGCTACTTGGAAATCTGGAGTAACAGCTTCCCTGACTTCAAAATACTGTTTAGGATTTTTATGCCAGCATCCTGTGCAATATTGTTAAGATTATATTTAATATTTACTTCTGGATTATGTTCTTGGAACATTTACTTACACCGAGAATGTTTATTATACATACGTACACATGAAAAAAATATAGAAATACATCAAAATAGATGTCCCCTATTTTTTATTCTTTATTTTAAACATTGCATATATTTAGTTTGTACAATGTGATGTTTTGGAACCCCCAAATGTTACTTTTCACTTATCAGCTGAAGCTTTAGCACTGGGGGTCATTTATTCAAGGCTTTTGATACTAATCCATTCATCCCTTCATTTACTTTTAAAGTATTTATAGATCACCTCCATGTGAACAAGCAGTTTGAAATTCAGAGAGTTCTTTTACATTGTTTTTAACAAATGTGTAAGATTTTTATGACTAATTACTCTAGATGTGGAAATGGATTCAGTTATAATTATGTTAACGAACGTCAAGATTGGATTCACATTGGGAAGGAGTGGAAAAAATATTAGCAATGGTGGTGTGCAAATTGGAAACCTAGAACTCACCTTAGCCTCCTGACCCTGCCAGTATTTGTGTCAGGAAGCCAGCAGAATTGAACGTATGCTGATGTTATGACCAGTGGGTGGGCTCCTATGGGAAAATTCAGAGGATCTCACCTGAGTTTACATCAGTGTAGTGACACATGCAAGTAATTCATCCATCTGAATAAATTGATAGGAAACTGTTGACTCAGCCAAAATGGTGGAATCAGTTGTGTGGTCAGCAAAATCTGAACAAGTTGGCAGGGATTTATGTTTCAAAGGACATTATCGACTTCGCAGTCATTTAAACTGCCACATTTTGGAAAGGAGAACAAAGAAAAAGTAAGTAGATGAAATATCTTCTACAGGATGGGGAAAAAGATTTAACAGATGTTGATGAATACTATTGGTTTCATTTTCTGGAAATTAAAGACAAAGAACCTTCCAAAGTCATTCTGGCTCCACTCGGAATTCTTTCTGTTTGACATTTTAGTACATCATGGATATGCATTACACTTGGCTATTAATAATATACTGCTTGGTTACAACCCTTGAGTAATTATCGTAATTACTATTTAACTTTTGTGTTGTTCTTTACTTTTTTAACATTGGTACTGACTTCTCCTCTTTAATTGGTTTGGAGATTTTTCTACTTACAGGGCTCTGCCCCAAATTTTCATTCCTTACAGTATTTTCCAAGTGTCTTCATTGAAGAGGAATTCAGTTAAGTACTTTTTAATTTATGATTTGATGCTTTTACATAGGCTTAAGAGTTTAAAGTATATTTGTAAAGTTTCAGATACAGTGTGTCTGAAACTAGCATGTGAAACTAGCACGTTTTGTGCATGTTTGGGATTAGCTACATAAGGAACACTTACAAGACAAGGTGTTTGAGATCATTATGTATGTATGGAAACAACTTACTTTTTAATTAAAATTAAAATTTTATTAAGTTTATTAATAGATATTTAGAAAACAGGACAAATATAATATGCTTAAAAATAGAAACTTAAGAAAAAAAATTGGGGCCACTAAATGTTAACGATCATTTACAGAATTATTTTTGTTTTGGTGTGAAACTTTTGCCAGAAGCATAGAGACTTACTTATTGCTTCATTTGGATAACTGCATTTTGATATCAATGAATTTGTGACAGATTCATAAGAATTTCACACATTTCTTAAAAGCCATGTAAAGGGACGCTCTGAATTTCACAATTGCTTGCTCACATATAGGTGGTCTATAAACACTTTAAAAATAAATGAAGGGATGAAGGGATCAGTATCAAAAACCTTGAATAAATGAACCCCAAATATAAGGTTTTGGCTACCAAGTGAAAAGTGACAACTCAGTTAAAAACATTTACCTCAGTGGAAATTAAAAAGGAAAACATCTCTTACATTCGTTCTTTTTATATGGCATTTGATAGTTATAATAGGATCTGAGTCTTACAATTACCTATGGTTAAATTGGAAATTTTTTGAGTATATAAGCGATATACATACATATTGTGTGTGTGTGTGTGTTGAATAGGTATGGATCTTAAATTCTAGTTATATAAGACTCTTCCATGTTTTCCTAAACAAGCCACTCATTTTCATGGTTTCATGTGTCTGATCATGGTTATCCCTCCGCACTAGACATTTTCTTCAGTTGACCATCTGGAAAGCTCCCATTTCTCCTCAAAGTCCCGCTTAAATGTAGTTTCCTTCCTGAAGACTTTTCTGACCTCCAACAGAGGATTTATGCTTTCTTGGGGTATATTTCCATATCAAACTTTAAAAGTATCTCCTAAAATACTTTTCATTTTGTATTGTAGTTTTTGTTATGTGTCTGCATCTCTCATTGCTCTACAAGGACAGGGATGGAAATCTAAATTGACATCGAGGATTATCATATCTTATTAGGATTAGCGAACTCAGAAAATGAATATACATTTTCAAGAAAGACAATTTCCAAAGAATGTTGAAAAGGGTTGAAATAATTCATGAAAAAAAAAAGAAACACAAGAAGCCAATAAACATTTTTAAGAGCTTTTTTTTTTTTTTTTTAGTTTACTTATTTATTTTGATAAATAAATAAGGGGCAGACAGAGATGGAGAGAGAATCTCAAGCAGGCTCCATGCTGACAGCATGGAGCCAAAGTGGGGCTCAAACTCACGAACTGTGAGATCAGAACCTCAGCTGAAGTCACAAGTTGGAAGCTGAACCAGCTGAGCCACCCAGGCACCCCACCAATAAACATTTTTTAAATGCTTAATCTCGCAAAAATAAGATTATTATAACAAATAAAATTACTAATTAAAGACCCTTAAAAAGCTATAATAGCTTATGTGGAGGGGCTTCAGGGCTCTCATACTGTCAGCAGAAATAAAAATGGCTATAATACATCTGGAGAGCCCTTCAGTAATAAATATCAAAATAGGTTATGAATTTTTCGTTCCAGAAATTTTATATCATAAGGACATAATCATAAGTCTATGCAAAGTACACACATATAGTAATGTTTATAGTAGAAGAATATTGGACACACCCTCAATGTCCAAAATTTTGATTACATTAATCTGGGGCATGATATGCAGTCATTAAAATAATACAAAAAAGGAGTATTTATTAGTATAAAAATTTAAGAAGTATTATTAAGGGGAAAATTATAAGATATTATTTAATATTGTAAAATATCTCATAACATCTCCCCGCCTAACAAGAACAATGTAGAAAAAAATCGTATTTATTATACACTAAAATGCAACAGGTAATTCTGGATGGTGCTTTCCAAATCTTGCAGTTTCTACAATAAACACCTGTGTTTGTCTCTGAACAGAAACATTTTATAAAACTAAAAGTGCAGTAAAAATTTCCCCAGTGAGTAATAACATAAGATAGTGGAGAGAACATCCACCCCTTGAAGGAAGCACACGAAGCTGAGGGCTACTGCGGCTGAGGACTGAGCAGCTGGTGGTGGGGTGGGGGCCAAGCAGCTGACTGGGCTTGGTTAGGAGATTGACCGTATACAGAGGGGATTAAGCAAATAAGCAAATATGTCAGATCCTTCTAATGACTATACTCAACTTTCGCATCTTTGGTACGAATGGAACAGAAATGACACTGAGTTTCCCTCGTTATATCCTATCCGGGGCTCACGGCCTCAGCCGATCTCATGAATGGAGATGTCCACTCTGCTCGTTTCACTAAAGGAGGTCTTTCAGCCTTCTTCACAGTAAAGCTATCTTCTTTTTGTAACTAATAAAGATTTGGTGGTGTGATACGTTCAGACTCTGGCAATATCCCATTCCTTATCAGTTTCTCAATTCAATTATTTAGTACCAGCATGAGTTCATGAATTCCTTTTTTGTTCCGTGGGTAGTAATTACCTATTGCTTTACGGTATATTTATTACAATATACCTATTACCTTTACGGCCAAATTATCTCCGATTTTGCCAATGGAAATCTCTTCAAGCTGATTGTCGTGTCCTTAGAGCATACCCCTAATATTCTTTGAGCGCTGTCTTACTTTCTGGTGAAACCAGATGCTTGGGCTCGACTGATACTTTTGTTACCCCATAGTTGGAATAAGTCATTTCTGCTGTTCCCATTGTTGTCTCAGTGGAAAAGGCAAGGGGGTATAGGCAGGTGTGTATATACAAGCGGCCATGCATTTACACACTTATATCTACACTTGTTTCTTTATCTAGCCACATATAATGAAAAGAAAACCTAAAAGGGAAAGGCGGAAGAGGGGAAAATATAGGAGAAGACAGGATGGAAGGAGAAGAGGAAGAGGAAATTTCATATATTTGTCCCTTGAAACTAAGAAGCATTCATTTCTGGAATTTTCATATAAAAGTGAATCAAGATTCATGTTTATGTTGAAGAAAAGATTTATATACCTTTAATTTATAATTTGTCAATCATATGTTACACCTGTTTATCGGCCCTGAAAGTCTTTCCAACTACTTTATATTTCCAAAAGATATCCTAAACGGTTAGGATTCATGCCATTAAGGTAATTTCCCAGGAAATAAGTTTAATAGAAATGTATTATATATAGTCTACAATATATATCTATATTAACTATATCTATCTTTATCAATTTTACTGTTAGCATATTTAATGTGATTTTTAAATTAAAAAATTTGGTGTCCAAGGTGTGTTAAAATCATTTGCTTACCTTTTTTTTTTTTTTTAGCGTTTATTTATTTTTGAGACAGAGAGAGAC